CATAAGTATTAGATGGCTGGAAATCAGCACATTTCCACTTGATCATGCAGAAGTATGGCAGCTTCAGTATTATTCATCAGGAAGACAGCTTTTTCAGGTAGTTTACTGCTTTCTTACTGTATTAAGGTATGGATGCTTGTGACAGAGGTTCTCATAAAACAGATTTTTATGTCCATGACAACATTACTATAGTTGATCTGGAAATACAAAAATATTCTTCAAAATGTAAAAGAACTAGACAGAGGCACCTTGAACAACAGATGACATTTTCAGCAGACACTAGTGTATCAGTATCTGAAACCCATGGAGTTCTATAAAAGCAGAACTAATTTCTAGGACTTCTAAAAGAAGTTTTAAGTGTTTATAAACATGTATATGCACACACATATAAATTAAAATTTAAAGCCGTTTTCTCCAATAAACCTGAGGCAAGATAGCTGATGGTACAACCAAACGAATTATTAAAAAATGGTCAAAATGGACATCCAACAGCTTTTTAGCTGGAACCTGTACCTCCACTGTATTTTAAAGGTCAACACACACTCCTTGCACCCGTATCCAAGCTGACTGGGAGGCATGAAGCTGCACTACATGGGCAGTAGCCATCTGAAGTTCACGTGACCTTCCTCTCAGCAGGGCTTACCACACTGAGTTCAGAGTCTGATGGCAGTTTGAGATAATTTGTGCCTGACTCCCTTGGAGTTGAGGACTATTTTAATTCTATCCCTGAAGTAAGTCCTCCGTGTGCATATTTGTAACCAAAGTATAAACCTATATATGTTTATATGCACATAGAGCAGTTATTGTTATACAGAATAATAGACTTCTGTGTTTAGTACATTTGAAACTACAGCCCTTTAACTAACTCCTTACCAGGAAATTTTTATGTTACCTACTTTTTATCAGTATCAAGACAACACTTAGGATTACAGTAGCAATTTATAGTGTACAAAGGTCTAAACTTTCCACTGACCTCCTTGGGCACGGTAATAGGATCTTACTCATTCTGGTCACCTATAGAGAAAATGTACTGTTCCAATCAATAGAAGTGAATGAGCCCTACAGGGCCAGTTCTCCCATCACCACAAATTATGATGGAAACAGATACACAAGTGGGATACCTCTGGGTGAAATAGGAGATACCCATTCACCACCCATGTACCAGCTACTCAGAAGACCAAGCAGTCAGTTCTCTTGCTGAGCAACCAGAAATTGTACACATAACTAGGATGATGCCTTAAAAAGTTTTGGTTTATATTCTGAAAGAAATTTTCAGGATTTTGCAAATCCCTTGTCATTGCAACTCCAAACAACTGATTTCACCTTCCAGAGACCTATTTTTTCATACATGTTTCAATGCTTTCTGAGATCATAAGCTGCCAGACAGCAGCCACAACAATAAAGATGAATTACAGAGAAAGACTGGTGTAATTTGACATTAATAACATAAGGCATAAAAAAAATTAACAGTAACTGCACGAAAACTGCAGGAGAACTATGGAAATGAGAAAGAGTTTGTAGTAAACATATTTCTATAAACTGCTACAGCTAAAAAGAACATTTGCAGGAAAAGCTTCAAAGTCATCAAGTATGAACACTGACAAGAAATGGCCAAGCCACCAGGCCTATATTAGTTCATTAAAAAGCCCAGGTATAAACAATAGTACATAAAAATGCAGAAAGAGCATCAGAAATTTGCAACATCATTGTGCATTACTGACCCATGTGTCAAGTTTTGAGTTTTGCATTTGTAAAACATCGCCAAGCAAAGACCAGACAGCAAGCTGGTTCACTTGGACAGTTCCCCACCAAAGAAAGTCCCTTTCAAAGGGCTGACACCGAGCACTCCAGTAGTAGATTAGCTAATGTTTTGACATCACATATATTTGAAAGATATCCAGACAGAAGAAATGCTAGTGAGAGAGAACAAAGTTTTATCCAACAGCCCAAATACCACCAGCTTCTTTTAACCAAACCACTTCATTTTCTGAAGGAATTTTAAGAGTTTTCATGCCATTCTTCCACATGAGCTGAGCCTGCTTCCCACCAGCTCATAAGTCAGGCTTATTTTCCTGGTAAGAAGAAGCAGGTTACAACTGTGTAATGACACCCACACTGAACAGCTATGTGGTGGGCCTGGGGAAGTGCACGTACTGTGCATTGTGCAAAGCTGTGCCATCAGATGCCCAGAACTGCATGTAGATACACGTTCCTTCATTTTTTGCACCATTTCTCTGAAACTTCATAAAGACTAATGCTGTGTGAACCAGGACAGTGGCTGAGGTTGAACATGTTAAGGATTATCAGCAGGGACAAACATTCAGAAAAACGTGTTTCTCTCTGACCTTTGTTGGAAAGCAGGGCAAAAAAGATGAGTGAATACTGTGTTTCCCCCAAGTGAGACAGCAGCCAAAAGCTCTAAGGACCTTCCTCCCCTGAAACCTAAACAGAGCTGGGCTCCATGTTCGAAGATAGGCTATGTGAAATCATCTTGAAACCATAAATTCATCATTGGACCAGGATCAGCACTTTCCTGTTTAGTATGGAAGTCTACTGCAGTGTCTCCAATCATTTATCTGTCTAGATGGAGCATGGTGGCAGAACTCTTTAAGAGAAGCAAAGTTAAACAAAAGTATAAATTTTGCACAGAAACAATTCCACACAGAGGCTGTTTTCAGGTTCTTCTCAGTTTAGGTGGAAGCAGTGATTTTAGAAAGCTTGGAGTACAGATGAAGACAGACTGAAACCTTTACAGCAACATAGGAAGATATATACAAGTCAGAACAGCTCCAAAATATTCCTGGCTTTTAGGTTTACAAATTACTGCTTCCCCTAGTCTTATTCTAGGATGGAACAAGCCAAGAGCACATTAAAAGGCTGCATTCTCTTCAGAATATCTAAAGTCATATTCTACTCTGTATTAACAAAGGTTTTAATCTTTTCAGGTCTAAAAGCCTGTTTACAGTGAAAGTGACCACTCCTGACATGATGCAACATTTGATTTTCCAATGGAAGCTGGCACTTTGGTGTCTCAGAATTAGTAGTCAGAACTAACCCATCACCCTGTATCTCAAGTTAATGTTAAGTTCACTTCCTCTAAATTAAAAAAAAAAAATCCCACTCAAACATCAGTTAATGTCTTGGTGTCTGTATCTATCCTGTTTATTTCACAGGGAAGGATTTCACTCTGCTGTGCATAGAGTCAACGCCAAGAACTCTCCCTTTGTAACCCAGCAAAAACTTTGAGAGTTAACATTGCCCTCAGCAAAAGACTTTAAAGGTTTCTCACAGCAAATCCATGACCAACACTAGCTTTTATCCCACAGAGGAGTAGGGTTGAGTTAAGCTGATTTTCAGAGTAAGAGCATTTCAAAGCCTACACCATACATCCATATGAATTTTAAGTTAACACCAATATTTCCCAAACACATTTTGGCCACGAATGTTTTAACCAGTAACTAAAACAGTCAGGAATGTTGAGAATAGAGAGCTGCCTTTTTTTTTCTTTTTTCTTTTTTTTTTTTTTTCCCAAGAGGAAAAAAATTAAAAAAGCAAAAGTAAAATGCTATTGAAGAAGAATCAGCTATGAATTGCAAGATAGTACACAGTCCAAAAGTTGCATCAGAATATCCTCAGTCCTGCCAAATGCATCTTTACTTAAATTGTTCATCAGAAGGGAGGTGATGTATCATGCAATTATTTGAAGTGTACCAAAAATTGCTATGATAGTTTTGGGTTTGCTACTGTAACAGTGAAATATCACATGCATATTGCCATCTCATGGATACTACAAATGCTTGTTTAAGATTCCAAGAACACTCTTCCTAACAGAAAAATATGCAGAATCTGTGGTAAGATTTACAAAGTGAAAGCAGGAACTTCACATTTGAAAGAGATTAAAAAAAAAAAAAAATCTGCCTCAGATTCTCTTGTAGTTACTATTTTTATGACTTGGCTCAGACTTACCTTAATCTCTTTATTTAGGGAGAAACTGCAGGTTGCCAGCTCTAGCAAATTTTAAGTACTTTGGTAAATTCCCCATCAATATAGGTCGTGCATTCGAGGGAACAAGGATGTGATGCGTAAGTTCTGCTCCCTCTCCTCCAAAGGGGATTTCATAATAAGACAGTGGTGGGAGAGGGAGAGATAAACAAGGTGGCTAAAACCCCCCTTTCAGCTCCGCTGTCCATACATCTGTCCACGCTTTGCTGTGTCGTGATTGGGATGTCGAGAGAGGCAGCTTGCCCAGCCTGCTGTCACCCTACATCCGTTCTATCTGATCAGCCAAGAAAGTACATGTATCGCCGATACTACTGCATCCTAACTCTTCCATTCAAGTTCAGTAATAGCAGAGAAGCAAGTCCAAAGAAGTCAGCAAAAAGTCATAGGAAACCCAGCAGATGTAGATGAAAGTATGGGGTGTACATATATATATTTATATGAGCAGTTTTGATCGCCTATGAAGTGTAGTTAACCACATCGCCTAAACCTGTCAATTACCTCCAAACCCAGAGCTCTGCTTTTAAAAAACTTGGCAGCCAACAAACACAAAGGTACGTACAAACGTTTGTACGCTGCTACCGACGCTATCCTCCAACAACTGAATACCCCTACCAAACAGCTCAGACCCCAGTTAACCAAGTTGCGGTGCCTTTCCGCACTTCGCCAAGCTGTCCTCGACCCCGGAGGTGACCCTGGGACACCATCACCACCATCGCCGAGGAGCTCCCGCTTCCCGCCGGCTCGTCGTTCCGGGCTTCCCCGTGGCAGCCTCGCCACGACCAGCCAGCTTGGGAAGAACGCGCAAGCACGTCCCGGACCGCGGCACAGGGAGCCCGGCCAGCGGGAGCCGAGGGCACCGTATCTCCGCGGCGGCAGAAGTGCCGGCGGCTGCCCGCAGCGCCCGCCACGCACCCGCAGCGGCGGCTTTCAGTTAGCGGAGACGCGGCTGGGAAAAGGAGGGAAAGGAGGGGAGGGAGGGAATCAAGAGAAGCCATTACCAGAGTTTTATTTCCGTTCTTGCTAAGGGGGCCTCGGAAAACTCCCTTGATATTGCGAAAGTGCCCGTTGCTGAGATGCGCTGAGCTGATGACAATGTAGTAGCACTCCATGGGGCCGGGAATGGGGCCGGGGACGGGGCCGCCTCCCCGCCGCCAGCGGGTTGCTCAGGCCGGCCGGCCTCCTTCGGCTCGGCTCAGCGGGCCGCGGAGGGCCGGGGCCGGCGGCATGTGCCGGTGTGTGTGAGAGGAGGTGTGTGCGGCCCCTCCGGCGCGGAGCGGGCTGCCAGGGGAGGAGCAGGGCGGGCGCGGCGGAGACGTCTGAGCTGCCGCCTCTGCCGGGCACAGCGCTGTTATAGCGAGCTGCCTTGCCGGTCGGCTGCACCGAGCCAATGGCAGGGAGCCACTGAGCTGATACCGAGAGCTGTCAGAGGAGGCCATCTGTCACACGCCGCCTTTACCGCCATCCCACAGCCTTCGCTGCCCCCGCCGCGGCAGGGCCGCCGGCAGGGAAAGGCGGAGGGACGAGAACGAGGGTGGGGGCCAGACTGGTCACCCCGACAGGCGCTGCAGCCCCGCATGGGGGGTGTGCCCCGCGTCTCTCTTCCCACGGAGGGCGCAGGAGTGCGGGCTCTCAGGGGTTTGGGGTTGCTGCGAGAGAGCCTGGGGCTACGCCGCCCCCAGCCCAAACCTCCGGCCCCTCCTCCTCTCCGAGTAGCCTCCGCGCCCCGTCACCGCACCCTATTTTATTTATATATTTCCTTTAACGCCTAACCCAGCGGGCGTCTTTACCTTCCCACGGTGGAGTAGCCTCCCCCATCCCCCCCGTCCCACTCCCGGGCCCGGCTCGGCAGCAGGACACGGATTGCTGCCGCCGTCCCTGCTCTTTTGACCCGTAACTGGGGGAAATGGGTCATTTCTCACCCCGCCGAGGGTGAGCTCCCTACCGCCCTTCGCTGCGCTGCCTCCGGTACAGTATTTCTGCATCCCGCCGCCGCCCATCCCCGCTGCATCCATCGCGCCCCGCTGTCTTGAAAACCGGGAGCGTGCTGGCAAAACTTCTGGGTCACGGCGGTTTTGGGGTGAGGAGAGGAGGGGAGTGGCTAAGAAAACCTGCGGCTGCATCCTTCCAGGTGTCTGCCGCCGCTTACCCACCGACCGAGCGAGGAGCCGAGCACCGAGGGGCCACCGACCGGCTCCCGCTGTTACTCAAGGATTCCCCGGCCTCGCAGGGCCTCGGCGGCAGCGGGGAAAACGGGAACCACCGCTGTTTGTTGCAGGCTCCGGCGCTGCGCTGTGGTCCTCGCCCTCAGCCTTAATGCGAAATGTACTCTCTCCGTCTTATGAAGCCCAGAGCAAAGTGGGGGATGAAAACCATTAGATACATCAGCATAAGGCAACTACAATACACACCGTGCCCTTTCCCCATCGTAAGTGTTCCTTTCTCTTTGCAGCATGCAAACCAGGACTTGCTGCCAGAACCAGAATTTGTCAAAGACGGGTTTAATAGAGATGCTCAAGTCTCTTCCCCCACACACACCAGGAGGTCTACGATTTTCAGCTTTATCACGTAAGACTTGAAACACACTTTGCTGGCTCATCTGCTTTACCTTTATTCTCGATTTCTAAAGATCAAGATTTATGGGGAGAAATTCCAGTGCCAAAAGAGCCCAGAATCATGATGTAACAGCTGAAAATGTCTCTTAGTCAGCATGTACTAATACCACCACCCAAACACCTTGTCCTCCACAATAAAGAAACCACTTCCAGAAAATGGGGGGGGGGGGGGAAGGGGTGTGGTAGAGGGAGGAGGGAAGCAAAACACTGCTTTCTGGCCTGGCACGCTCCTGTGGGAGTCCAAGGACTTGGGAAACGCCTTGTTGTAGCAACAGAGAAATAATCCACTTCTGTAGCTCAAGTTTGAAATAAATGAGAGTGCCCAAAATGGTTTTAGGAGTTGGTATAGCTTCTGCTAAATAAACTTGTTGCCCTCTATTAACAGAGGAAAAAAAAACCATGACTAAAGACCACTTGATTCTGACAAAGCACTCTTTAAAGGAATGACAAGTTGTACTAAATAGCACCTAATAAGAAAAATATACATTTTTCTTCTCTTACTTATTCTGGTTGGCCTCTTTTATCACTTTTTGGCTGCTTCTCTGATTCTTTGCCATCTCCATCTTCTTTAATCCTTCACTGTACTTTTCCTGCCTCATTCTGTTTCTCTATTGTCATCACACAGGCTCAAGATACTGCTTGTTTCTCAAATCTTGTTTTGTTTTGGTTTAAATCTTACTAAGTTGCTAATTCCATCAGTCCCTTACCCCATGGCTCTTACATACCACCAGTCCTGCCCATTTCTGTCTCTGTCTTGTTCCCCTTTGCAAGTATCTGGTGTTTGAGCTGTGCATACTGCTATTTATTCACATCTTTGCCATAAAATAATAAGCAGTGCTACTGATTTACTCATTCTCTTATTTTCCCTGGTACTTACTATTTAGAAAAATCTTCAAGGAGCTGTTCCTGTATAAAACTGCAGATACCAACTCAAGAAACAGTCTACGAATCTGAAAGACTTTCTGGAAAACTTGGGAACTAGAAACCAGTGAACAAATTACACTAATTCTCATACATTATACTGCTTTTTTGCCTGTGGCAATACTCAGAATTCTGCATTGTAATACTTAATAATATTTATAATTCAAGAAATTGTCTTGGTGCAATCCAGAAAAAATATTCAAAAGTATAAACAGTGACCTTTTGGTTAAGAGTCATTAAAGCATGGCACAGAGTATGTGTTACCAAGTGCATGTACCCTGAGAAATCATTTGCTCACTACTGAAACGCACTCATCAGTGACAGAAAGAAATATCTGTGCTGTAAATCACAAGAAACTCAATGCCACTCCCATAACATTTCTTACTGAATTCAGTGAAATTCAGTTTATCCTTGGAATATCTCCCTGTAAGTAATCTGCTGTGAGACACACCTTTTTACCATTTCCTGCATTTTCAGTCTCCTTTTATTGCTCTCTCCCCCTCCCCCATCCCTCCCCTCCCCCTTTTCACTTAGCTTTAGGTGTTTTTCCCTGTTTCAGATGTTTGTCATCCTTGCATTATGTGGAAGGAAAAAGAGAGTATCCTGTACCATTTTAAGCCCATTATGGTGTAATACACATTATAACACTATATTACAACTGCATTCATTCATCAGCTATGGGGGTGGTGCAACTAGAGAAAAGGAAAGTGGGACACTCTGGTAGCCTAGTTCTTCAGCACATCCTTCACCATACGTAAAGAGTATCCAAGTGGGTTCCCTATTTCAGTATATGAGCCAAGTGGAACACTGGTACCACAAAAGCCAGGGAGAGCCAATAGTGACTTAAAGCCCCATGTCAGGCAGTCAAATTGTGGGCTATACCCCGAAGTCCTCCAAAGTCACAGGAAGAGAACTGCAAAGACAAACTAGTATTTCTGCTTAATATCAAAAGTAGCATCAAAGGTTATGAAACACTATTTTTTTTTCTTTTCTTTGCTCTTTCAGCCTTCCAAAGCACGTAATTTTATACCCTGGTCTTGCACAGCAGCTCCAGGAAGAAGCCATCTGGCAAGAATTGCCTCCTCCCTCTTTTCAGATATCCATATAGCATCTATATCTAGCTCTGTACAAATTCCTGTAGGTACAAGGTGCAAATGCCTTTCCATCCCTTCTGTTCCAAATTTACAATACTACCACTGTCTACTTTAGGGTACTATTGGGAAAAAAACCTTTCTGTTGTTATTGAATCAAATACTCTGTTCTTTCTATCTTCCTTTCGTAATGTCTCTGCTGCAGAATTTCCCCAGCAGCTCCTGTGTGCTCCTTTATTTTTTTATTTTTACCTTCCCCAACAAAAAAAAAAAAAAAAAAAGAAAAAGAAAATGAAATGAAATTTGCAAATAACACTCTGAATATCAGCTGACATCAACAAGTAATTGATGTACCACAAGAGCATTAAATCAGAGACTTTTACAATGGCCAGAAAGCACCTGCTGATGCAGCCAAGGTGAAAGAACCCTCTGCAAAAGCAACTATTGCCTATTTCAAACACTGAAAAGACAACTCACTCTCTTATGAGCAAATCCTTCATCACACATGCTTGAAGAATGATTCTAAATGAAAAGCAAATGGAGCCAGCAACTGGCAAATGAATCCTGAGAACAATCTGTGATGGAATTAGAGTTTCCCAACATCCACTCAAACCAAACATCTCAGTCTTTTGACTGCATTGGTTTTCCAAACAGAACAAATGAAATCAAACTATGAAAAATCATATGACAAAAAATTGAGTCATATGATCTCAGTAAGGCAATACCTCAATTTTTCACAAGTTATTACTATAGAAAATCCTCTTCAGCTTCACTGCTATAACAATCTAGCACAACAGTGAAAATGACAATCTTTCCAGGGGCAAAGTGGAAAAAGTGTAAAATAAACCAAAACAAAAAAGAAAAAAACAAACAAAACCAACAAAAAACACAACCACATAGCTCTCCATAAATCAAGAAGCAAATGTAGAAAGACCACAGATGGGTGCAATTCCACAGAGCCACCTACCAAAACTCCCAAAATCTGGCAGACAGGTTACACAGCTAGCACAGTATTGAAGTCAATGACACATTCACTCCATAAGCAAAATGAAAAGAGGTTTCCAGCAGCCCTTCACTGTCTTGTATAATACATATTCTGGAAAGGATGTTGAAGCATAAGCAGCACCCAGTTTTAGTTTTGACGAAGTAATATTTTTTCTTAATTTAAACCAATTAATACTTGTTTTGTTAAAGAATACAACATTTCAAAGGTACTTAAGGAATGAAAAGCTTTTAACCAGAATAAATGAACCATTAAGAGAAAACATGGCAAGCAAAAGAAAACTTGTAAATTAAATAGCACAAGAAAACTTGTGAATTAACTAGGAAAACAGTTCATTTTGACATCCAGGATAGCAGATGGGTTAAGGCCATTTATCCAAAACAGATTATTTTCCTTGCAAACATTCGCACATTTCCCAGAATTAAAAGATCTGGAGTCTAAATAATTGATCAAAAGTCTTCACAGTCAACAGGAAGCTTCACATTCAATGGTCTTGGTCTCATTTACCAAAGCAGGAGGTATTTCCATAGAAAGCAGTCCTGAACTTCCTTGTCAGGAGTTGGCATTACTGCCAAGCTTTTCCACCGGGTGGTGGTAATGAGACCAAGATCAGGAGACATGGTAACAGAGCTCAGAACATTCCTTCATTCTGTCTCTTTCCATATACACATAGAAATTTTTGCATGTGTGTGAACATAGATACCTACCTATGTGTGCATACACAACACTCGAAATGTAGTGCCACAGTAATGAAAGGATGAATAAAACAGTTTCTAAAATTTTTCAAGGGATGATAGAAAACACTTAAAGCATCTATTTTCAAAGGGCTGCCCTCCAAAATAAATTTTTAACACTATTTTCTTCTTTAGCATTCAGTTTGACACATAACTGTAGAAGCTAAAGAGAGCTGGTATGAAAATGGTGACAGATCAGAAAGTAGCACTATGTTATTCCTGAATAAGCCAATATAAATTAGAGACCCACTGGGGAAAAAAGTCCAATGATTAGTATTATAATACATTTCATTGAGGTCAATG